TTTTTTTTTTTTTTTTTTTTTTTGCTTTTAACTTTTTTGATTTGTTTTTAATTGGGGTCTTCTTATATTGCCCGGGCTGATTCCAGATTCTCAAGCCATTTATATATATGTAATTAAGACTAGGTTATCAGGAATTTTTCTTTTTGTTCTTTGTGGGGCTAGGATTTTGAACCCAGGGTTCTGTGTGTGTTAAACACATTGCTTTTCCAGGAAGCTGGACTCTTAGCCCAGGAAAACTTTAAGTTTTCCCAACAATTGACATTTAGGATTATTTTTCCTGTTATCATGTCCATTGGTACTGTTTCTTCATATCCTAGTTTCAGGGTCAGGGATTTAGCTTGGTGCCACCGCACCTGCCTCGCAAGCACAAGGTTGTGAATTTGATCACTGGTACCCCCTCAAAAAACCCAACATTCTAGTTTCATCTGAATCCTATCCTCCATGTATTTTTAATTTCTTATTCATCCTGTTCAAGATGATCTCAAAAATCTCTTTAGAAAATTCAGAATCTTTCTATCACAGACTGAAAGTGAATATTTTAATTTAAATTACCCTGTTATCCTCTTTACTTGGATTCTACAGATAGTAAGTTAGCTATAGTTAAAAACAGACATGTAATTTTATGTGTACAGTCTAGTGAGAGAGACAGAAACACACAAACACACTGTTAACATTTTTGCCTGGGATGTAGGTGATATAAATAACTTAGGAGAAACTGCTCATAATTTTGCCTGATTTTAGCATTTTTTTATATTTGAAGCACATTATTTTCCAGGCTTTTCTTTGTATTCTTTTTGAAATGTTTCCATTTTACGTTACACTTACTTATAAAATTACAATAGATTTAAATAGTGCTTGCGGTGCGTAGTGGCGCATGCCTATAGTCCTAGTACTCTGGAGGCCAAGGCAGGAGGGTCACTGTCTCAAAATAAATGAATAAAAGTTACTTCTAAGGTGGGTACATTTGAAAATATCACAGTGTTTTATTCTAAAGATTCTAATCCTCATTATTTTTGGTATTCAAGGGATATATAATTTAGATAGCTCTTACTTGCTGAATACAGTGTTACATTTCCCATCTTCACAGTTTTATACAGTTTTGTTCAGAGAGTAACTACTAAAAAGTTCTACAGCCTTCTCTGTCACATGGTACATATATGGTATATATGCATACAGGTTTTGCAGTGCTAAAGGTTGAAACCAGGGGTTCTTGCAAGTATCCTCAAGCCAACTGTTTACTTTTTTATTTTTATTTTATTTACTTATTTTTCCAAAACACTTAAATTTTATTGAAAATGATAAAATAGAGAAACACCAGATTCTCGCTTTGAAGTAAAACTGACAGCATCTCTCAGAACTTTCTTACTTTTTTATTTTCAGAGGTTTTTGTGGTACTTCAGAAGAAAGCAACTCTCTTGCATTTTATTGTTAATTAGATATATTTATTTGTGTTAGTAAGATTTTCAACAGAGACCAAGTACCTGACTTAAACAAAAACCAAAAATCAAAAGAGGAAATGACTCACAGTCTCAGAGGTTTCAGTCCAGAGGAGGAGCATCATGGCAGAGGCTGTGGTGGATCAAAGCTGCTCGCCTCATGGCAGCCAGGAAGCAGAGGCAGGGAAGAGCCAGAGAGGAAGGGGTGGAGCGGGCAAGCTGTCTCCTCCACAGGCCCACGCTCAGTGGCCTGCCTCATCCCCGCCTCCCAATAAACCATTCAGTTCGGAACTCATCAATGGATCACTTGATGAAGTTAGAGCCCTCCTGACCAGTTCAGTTCCTCAGATCCCATCAGATGCCAAGCCTTCAGCAGAGTGAGGTTTTTGGCTGCGTGTTAGCTAGCTGACTTTTTTTTTCTTTCTCATTACGTTTATTGGTACATTTTAGGTATACAGTACAGTTACATTCATCATTGGGATCTTGTACCTTTACATGACAGGTCTTGGTTCTCATTTTTTCCCCTTATCCCTGCGCTTCCTTCACCCCCTCCTCCCTTCCCTATTTACAAATACTTTATTTCCATTTTTTTCATTTTCTCATGTTTTTTTTTTCTCCCTTATTACCTTTCCCCTACCCTTCCCACTTCCCCTACACTTTTATCCCTTTTCTTCCTATTTCACATTGTAAATTATATCATTAGGATCTTATGTACCATTATAGCTTTTCACACCAGAGAAACTCTTCGGTATTCATACATGTGTGACTTATTTATTTCACTTAGGAGTATATCCACAAAATGTATCCATTTTCCTATGAATGACTCTAATTTCTCATTCTTTATGGCTGAGTAGTATTCCATTTTATAGAAAAACCACATACTTTTTTTTTTTGAGTCAGGGTCTTGCTATGTAGTTCAGGGAGGTCTTAAACTCACTAGGTAGCCCACGCTGGCCTCAAACTCGTGATGATCCTCCTGCCTCAACCTCCCAAATGCTGGGATTATAGGCCTGCACCACCATGTCTGACTTTGATTTTTTTTCTGTCATTCCAAGACTTTTTTTCCTTTTGAAGCAAAACATTTATTGGTTATGTTTTAGATATACATAATGATAACACTCATCATAGGAAATTTGCACCTGTACATGATGTATCCTGGCTCTTCTTTTTTTCCCATTCCCTCCTCCCTTCTCTCTTTACAAAAGCTTTGTTTCCATTTATTACTTCTATTTTCACTTTTTTCTTGTCCCGTCCTTCCTTTATTCCACCCCCTCCTTGTTCCCCTTCCCATTTGAATATTTTCTTCCCATTTCCTAATATCTATTATACATTTTGAACTTTATATAAACCCTAAATCCAACAGGCTTTAATTTTAACTTTTTTTTTTTTTTTCCTTAGACAGGGTCTCATTAGCCCACACTGTCCTCTAACTCACAATCCTGCCTCAGCTGCCTGGGTGTTGGGATTATGGCTGTGTGCTAACCTGACCTTTTTTTTTTTTTAACCTTTTTTGAGGGTTTTTTTGGTTGTTGGTATTTGGGTTTTGTCTTTTTTTGAGGGGCTGGGTTCTTGGTCATATGCCTTGGCGTTCTTACTATCACTATCTACTTTTTAAATTTTATTTATATTTTAAAATTTGAGACAGGGTCCTTCTAAATTGCTCAGGCTGGCCTTGAACTTGCAGTCCTCCTAGCTCAGTCTTCTCAGGAGCTGGGATTACAGCCATACACCATTACACCTGACTATATCTAGTTGTATTTTTTTTTTGAGACAGAGACTCGCTATGTCTTTCAGGGTGGTCTTGAACTCGCTACATAGCCTGGGCTGGCCTCAGACTCACAGTGATCCTCCTGCCTTAGCCTCCCAAGTGCTGCAGGTGTGCATCACCATGTCCAGCTATATTTACTTCTTTTTTGGTACTGGGGATCAAACTTGGATCCTTGCACTTGTGAGGCAAGTGGTGGAACCACTGAGCTAAATCTCCAGCCCCTATATTTACTTTTTTAATTGGACTTTTTTTTAACATTTGCAAATATTTTACTGTTTAACTGCTATGACACTTAGAAGGGTTTTTCTCCCTAAAGCATCTAGCAATACGATGCTGATTGTAGTGGCACATGTCTATAGTCCCAGCTACTTGTGAGCTGAGGCAGGAGGATTGTGTAGGCTCAGGTGCTCGAGACCAGCCTAAGCAACATAATGAAGCCTTGTCTAAAAAATTTACAAACACAACCCTATTTCAAGGTGCCATACATTAAAAGGCTAAAGAACTGTAACACCATGAGCAAAAGATAGATACAGTGCTTAAGTATAGCATATCCTTGATAGGATGGGTAGTTGGGGTGAGAGAAAAATATGATGGACAGCTAACACTCACACATCCCTTATCTACACATTTATGAATACATTTATTCAGGCTCTGTGGTGCCTGCCTGTAATCCCAGCTCTCAAGAGCTTGAGGCAAGAAGGCGTCAAGTTTGAGGCTAGTC